CCTCTGGGGGGGTATTTCTCGCTTTCTGTCTCTATGTCTCTGTCGGTCTGTCTGGCGAGCGCACGCGCCCTACGGGGAAAAATCTCTCAAAAAAAAAAAAAAATGAAGGTTTTATCCTTTTGTCATTTTGTTCCCATCTACTAGCCAAGATTATTCCATCAAGTAGAACTCTCCTCCTCACCTGGGATTATTTACATTATCCTAAATTCCTTGTAGAAAAGCCAGGAGCAAACGTCATTCCTTGTCTTTGATTACCAGTGTTCAAAGCTAGGATAGTCATTGTTGTTTTAGATTTCGGAATAGCTTGCACAGTCACATAATTCAAAAATTTAAACTCTGAGAAGTATACCTGTAAAGTCGCCTTTACCTCTGGTCCCCTCCCATAAGGCAACCCATTATTAGATTCTTTTGTGTCTTCCCAGAAATATTGCATGCCTGTATGAGCTGACTCATATATAGTCTGTTTTCTCATTTTTATACAAACGATAGCATACACTGCAAGGGATTCTACATATCTTTTTAACAGTATAATCTTGAGGCTCTTTTCACATCAGTGCATAATGAACCTTCTTACTCTTTCTTTTCTTTAATTTATGTTTTTGATATAGGATGTGTGTACATCGAACCTTCTTACTCTTTCTTTTCTTTTCTTTTTTTTTATTTATGTTTTTGATATAGGATGTGTGTACATGCTTACCAGAGAGAGAGAGAGAAAAAAAAAAATCATCTCCCTGAAGAATGGACACACCCAAATATCCCTTCTCTTCTCTTGGGATTTTGGGTGCATGCACACACACACACACACACACATATGCCCGGTGTGTTCCTCAAGCTTTCGAGACGCAAACTGTTCAGTCAGCCTTGTGGGATTGAGCACCTTCACCGCCATGCCACCAGAGGGACCCTCATTCTGTCTTTAGTTTGTTTTTTTTTAAGTTTTTTCCATAAGGTGTGTGCACTTGCTGGAGAGGCAAGAGACAGAGAGTCACAGTGAGAGAGAAAGTAGAATATCACCACCCCAGGCAGGATGGCCACACTGAAATCTATTTTTCTTCATTCTCTTCTTGAGATTTCGGGCATGCATGGACATGCACCAGCGTGAGTTTCAAGCTACCAAATCTGGGACTCGAACTGCAATCAGGCACGTGGGAGTCCAGTGCCTTAACCACCACACCACCTGCTGCCCTCCACCATTCGTTTTTTAATTTGCATCACGAACCATGGAAATACTGCAATCCATGTAACCCATCTTATATATAAATATTTAGGTTATTTTCAGTTTTCTGCTACTGGACAGATGTATTACTTTTAAAATAAATAAAAGGATCTGAGAGGCATGGATTTCTGCCCCCTGAGGCAACCATTCCACCCCTAAGGAGGTCATTAGGAGGCCTCTCAACCCTCTAGTGACTGCTGTTCAGCAGTGGTGAATGTAACCGAGGGGCACTTCCTCCCTCTCACCCCGGGCACCTGGTGAGAACTCACAGACCTCAGGGGGAGAGTGACTGTCAGCACCCTTTCTAAAGAAGACTGGGGGTTGCACCACGTGCACATCCGGCCAACACCCTGTGAACAAAGTAGAGAGAAGTGCATACAATCCCTGCTCATCTCGTAAATGGCAGCGGGAAAGAGTTACCCTTGCTGCCTTGTGGGTATTTTTCGATCCTTAGGGATTCTTGAAAACAGTGAGCAAAAGTCTCTGAGCTCAGGAAAGGCAGCAGATCAAGACTTGGCAGCCTCCCTCTGTTGAATAGATGGAGGTCCTGGTTGCCTTAGCGAGGATGCTTCTCTGCTCGTCTTTCAGGCTGTTCAGCAAGGGACCATCAAGTGCAATTTTGCTGGGGTTGCCTTGGGTGATTCCTGGATCTCCCCTATTTTTAAGTACAGAGTTTTCAGGCATTTCTTTATTCTTTTTTCCCGGTAAGTACAGTTTTCAGGCATTTCTTTATTCTTTTTTCCCCCCATCTATTCCTGGGACTTTGGACTGTGTTGTCTAGATCAAAGAAGAGGTCCTTGAGAAAGTGCAGAAAGTATTTGTCTCAAGAATAGCTAAGGGATTCGAAGATGAGAGTTCATATATAGAGCACCTGCCATAGGCCATTAAGGGCAGAACTGAGTTCTCATATTTGATTCTCACAATGAAAGAATCCATTTTTTCCATTTACCTTTTTTTTAAGTTTATTTATACATGAGAGAGAGAGAGAGAGAGACAAGAAGCACCCTCAATAAGGTTCTGTCCCACCAGGATTCCTTCTCCCTAGCCCTTCAGGACCATGGGCTCATGAGTACATGTATGTCCCTGGTAGGTCGTCCAGGCCAGTGATCTGAACCCACAGTCCACCATGTGGATTCTAGCACTGCAGTTCAATATACTACTGACTATGCCACTAAAGCTGGGCCTGATTTCTTTTCTTTCTTTCTTTATTGATTGACATAATAACTACATATTTGTGCGGTAAAATGTGATTTTTCAGTATACGAATATGATGAGCAATGATGAAATCAGGGTAATTAGCATATCTTCACCTCAAACATCGATCGCTACTTTATGTTGGAAACATTCTAAATATTCTTTTAGCTGTTTTGAAATATATAATAAATTAGCATTAATTATAATCTCTCTGTGCTGTAGAATGCTAGAACTTATTTCTCGTACCCAGTGTAATTCTGTACCTGTCAAAACAATCACATTTCACAGTCAGAGACCTTTTTTTTTATTCCTAGAGTGTGCGTGGCCTTACTAAATGAGAGATGGAGAGGAGGAGAAAGTGCCCCTTGGGCAGTCACACCCCAATCCGCTCTCCATTTCTCCATCCTGTTGGGATTTAGGCACACACGCGGATATGCCTAGCATGTGTTTCAAGCCTCTGGAGTGGGAATTTGAACCACAGCCAGCCATGTGGGATCCAGTTCCCACACCACGATGCCATAGGGCTTGTCCCAGTTTGAGGCTGCCCAGGTATGCCCTGTGACACACAGGATGAGTAGCTTCGTAAGATCTGTGTGAGTCAGCATGAGGGTGAATCTGTTTAGTCACCTGGTCCCCTCCACCGCCCTGATGATAGCATGAGCGGTTGGAGTGAACTTCCCACTTGTCGCTCGTGTTGATGGTGAGGCAAGATTATCATCAGGTCTCACAACTCTCAAGTTTGCAGTTTCCTCCCCGAGCATCTGAGTTGGGAGCACAGAGAGGAGCCGTTTATGTTGCAGACACCGAGGGCGTGGCTTCAGAGGTCTGCAGTCATCCGATGGGGTTAACTTTAATCCAGGGTTTCTCAGCCTCAGCACTACTGATATTTCTTTGTTGTGCAAGGCTGTGCTGTGCGTTCTAGGATACAGATGAACAGCCCTGGACCCCGCTTATGAGATGCCAGTAGCACCACCCCAGTGTGACACCAAAAATGTCTCTGAACATCGTCTAATGTCCTCTGAGGACACATCATCTCTGGTTGAGAACCACTGTTCTAACCTAACAAAAGCTGACTTTTCACAAACCTAACTACTGTAGAGAGTTAGAAACCAGAAGAGAGACTGTCACCAGTGGAGAGGAGAGGGATAAGCTGGCTAGGAACTAGGGACGTTGTCAGCAGTGGAGGGGAGAGGGATAAGCTGGCTAGGAACTAGGGACATGGGGGAATTTTCAGTGCCCCGTATATTGATGGGGGTGGTGGTTATGTGGGCATGTACGTTTATCAAAACTCTTCTTGGGACCAGCAGTTAGTGCAGTGTCTATGTTGCTGGACTCCAATGCAGTCGACCGCAGTTCAAGTCCCAGACCTGGTGACTTAAACTCACAGTGGGCAGTGCATGCCCAAGATCCCAAGAGGAGAATGGATTGTGGTGTGGCCATTGTGGGGGGGGGGTGACTTCTTGATTTCTGTCTGTCTTTTTCTGTCTTTCTGGCAAGTACATGTGCCCTCTAGCAAAAACCTCTCCAAAAAAAAAAAAAAAACACCCCTTCTGGGGATGGCCTTGTAGCCTAGTGGTTAAGGGAGCCATATCCCACATGGCCAACCGCAGCTCGAGTCCCAGACCCAGCAGCTTGGAAGACACGCTGTGTTTTCCAAAATCCTGACAGGTCGGCGACATGGAGGATAAAGGATTGTAGCATGACTATGTCCCCTTGGGAGCTCTCTTCCTCTCCCCCTCTCTGTCTCTGTTACTCTGTCTCTCTAGAAAGCATAAGCACTCTCTGGCAATTTAAGAAACAAACTTCTAAAGGTACATTTATGATTTGGGGTGTGTGATTATGGCTCAATTTTTAAAAATAATTTATGAAAGGTAATATTTGGGGCCAGCCTGTGGCCTGGTATTTAAGGTGGCTGGATCCCACATGGCTGCTTGTGCAGTTTTGAGTCCTGGACATGATAACATAAGAAACAAGCTGGGCATGTGTGCATGCATGTCCAAAATCTCGATGGGGCAGAAATCGAGAAGGGATTGTGATATGACTATCCTCAAAGGGGTTTTTTCTTGCTTTCTGCCTCTCTTTCTCTGTCTTTCTCCACTGAGCACACCATGTCCTCTGGCAAAATTTTTTAAAAAGGTAACATTTTCCTCCTAAAAGACAGATTTGACTTAATGAAGAGCTGTGTCCCTGGTGGATTTGGGATATTTCTCACACTTGGCATCTGCGGGGAGGACTAAAATGGCATAGAACTGAGTCAGCCTGCAGAGGAGGGCTGTTTGTTTTTCCTTTCTGGATAGAACCCACAGGACAGTGCAGAAGCCCTGGTCGGAGGCGTGAGGGTTCCGTGGGTTTCTTGTCAGATATTGCTCATGTTGGTGGCAGGATGAAGTTATCACCATCTTAGAACTCTGAGCTTTGCAGTTTCATAACTGAGCACCCTTGCTGAGAGCACAGTAAGAGCACAGAATTACAACTCTGTCCCTTATACTTCTTTTTAAAAAAAATATTTTATTTACCTTTATTTATGTATTTATTATTATTTTTTAATTTGACCAGAGAGGGACAGAGTGAAAGAGAGAAGGAAAGTTGAGAAAGCAAGCTGCCAGGTCTGGGACTCAAATCGTGGTCAGCTATGTGAAAGTCCAGCACCCTTAACCACTATGCCACCTGCTGGCCCCAGGCCCTCATTCTTCTTATGGGCCTGCAATGACAGCCTCACAAGAGCCCAGAACACTGCGTGCACTAACTGCATCTAATCCTTAATCACAGTTCCGTGGAGGGAGGCTATTATTATCCTAATTTTGTAGATGATGCAACTGAGACTCAGGTTGAGTGACTTTCCTAGAGTCACCCAGCTAAAGTGGTAGAGCTGGCCTTCAAACCCAGGCAGCATGAGCTGGAATCCATGTGTTTACCCACAGCCATCATGCTACCCTAACCTATGCAAGGTCAGTAAGGTTAGCCTCGTGGCTGTGTAAGTGCTATTCATTCCATCTAGAATCTACTTTTATCTCCTTGCCACAAGCCACTCCTCCTCATGAATCTACCTACCCAGATCGAAATCTATCCTTCTAGATCCACTTTAAGTATGACCCCTCCATGCCAGAAGCATTTCTTTATAAGGGAGAAGTATTGTTAATTTCTCTGGACAATTTTACTTGCTTGCTAGGTGGTAGGTACTGTGCTGAGTGCTAGGCCTAGGTACACAAGCGCTTCTTGTCTTCAAGAAGGATGATTTGCAATATCACTAGCCATACATAACTATTGCAGTGTGACAGCCACATGTAACTGTAAAATAAAATGAAATGAAATTAAAACTTCAGTTTCTCAGTGGTACTGTCTGTGTTTTGAGTGCACAATAGACCCATGTAGCTGTTGGCTACTGTTTAGATTACATGAATATGGGATAGTTCCATCTCTATAGAAAGTTCCATCAACAATGTAGGCCTCTATTGCAGGTGGCAAACTACAGCCTATGGGTCAAGCCTGTCCTGTCCCTGCACTGGTAAATAAGGTTTGTGTTGGAACACAGCCATGGCTATGTCTGTTTATTTACATACCGTTTAAGGCTAATGAGCATCTGCAAGAACAGAGTTGAGTATTTGATCAGAGGTTGGCTGACCTGAAGACCCCAAATTATTTACTGTGCGTCTCTTTACAGAAGAAATTTACCAGTCCCTGGTCTCGATCAAACAGGGAATGAGGTGCATTACAGAATTACACATTGTCCTGTATTTTGAGAAACTAAGGGGGCCAGCCCTGTAGTGTGGTTAAGCCAGAGAGGTGAATGATAGCTCACGGAATACCTAGTATGCCTGCATGTCTCAGGGTGTACTCTGAAGAATACCTGTCTAATTGAGGTGCTGTAGGGAGGGCTGCGGGGTCACACAGATTTTGGAAATGCCAAACACTGGCTCTACCGCCTCAGAGTTCACAGGCTCATTAAAGGCTCTGAGAAGTCCTGCTGTAAAGAAATACATTGTTTTACAAAACCCCAACAGTATTTAATCAAATCAGAGAATCATTTTTCTTGTAACACCTAGATTAAAATCCTGCGGCAGTGAGGTTATTTGACACATACTTTGAGATATTTGACCTTAGGGAACCATGTAAGCAAAACAGGCTGTTTAAAGACCTGTTGAAGCCAATGGGCCTTATGAATGCGGTCCTTGATACTTTGTTGGCACCTCTCTCAATGGCATTTATCTTACCTGATGATATGGCAGTTGTTAGCTTGTCTAAGCCAACCCGACGATTCTCTTTGAGGGCGGGCATTGTACCGCTTACATTTATATCTTCTTGAACTCCTTGCTGCCTTTAGGCCATTAGTAAATCTCCATATGTTTGTGGAGTAGAAATGACTTGATTGGCAGTACAGCCACAGACACTTGGGTTAAAGACTCCTTCGTTTCTTTAATTAGTTCCTTGGCAGATGCTGGTGACTTCGGGCTGGAGGAAAGCAAAAGCATGCAGAGCATGGGAGATATTGTAGGCTGTCAAAAAGCCTAAAGGTTAGCAGATAAGAGCTTCCACCTGCACATCCACAGCCTGCCTGTGCGCATGTGGTCACTAGCTGAACCGGTGTCAGGCCAAATTAATGTGCCTTTAGTCCTTGGATGCCCTTCTAGCCACTGAGACCTCAGCCTGTCTCTTGCCTGGGAGCTGGTGAGTTGAAGACCTACAAACCCAAAGCCCCTGTGTTTCTCTCTTCTGTCTCTTTCTGCTTTGGAGGAAAGCCAGGTAGGTTTGTCTTTGGGAAGACAGAACCACGGCACGCTCAATTTGTACCTCTGTGGTTTTCTTTAGATTCGGTGCTCTCCTGGGGGTCCTACCTGTACAGCATGGTAAGTAGATGGGTCTTCACCTTGGCACCCTCAGTGGTAAAGGGCCCAGATGACCTCTTCTAGCTATTTCCAGGAAGGAGAAAGCTAGATCTGAGTTTGCCTATGTGGTTAACTCTGCTCCTGAGGGACTGTTAGTTCATATCACACTGAAGATCCTGAGTAACAGCTAGCCTTGGGGATAAATTCAAAGAAAATTAGCACACTTACTTTTTCCAGGTATAGGAAAGTTTTTTAATACCTTAACTTTGTATTACAAAAATGTTCAAATATGCAGAAAATTGAGTATTACTGTGAACACTCATATATCCACCACCACAGTTCAACTAGCATTTGGCTGTCTTTCTTTCATCAATTCATATATGACTTGCAACAATGCACTTTCATATGTGAGCCCCCTTTCTGCTTGCTCCCACTCTTTCTCCCCATTTTTCTCCTACCCATCCCTAACTCTGGCAATACCAGATTGACGTCTGAGTAAAGTGGGTCTTCTTGTTCTTGCTTTGCATTCCAGTCTCTTCTTGATGACAACGGCCTGGCAGAGGTGTTTAAGATTGCAGAGCAGGTCCTGGATGCTGTCAATAAGAAGCACTACAAAGAGGCCACGCTGCTGTGGGACAAAGCAGAAGTGGTCATTGAAAATGTAAGAGGGGACATGCCTACTTACTGTTTTCCTGTGGGTACCAGGCCTGTCATTGGTGTTGTCAGGATTGGGGTCTGTCTTGAGTCTTCCCACAATCTGAAATGATTTTATGGTAAACGACGCATCTGATGAGTCTGAGCAGTGGTGTCGTGGGTCCTTACAGAGTAAGAAAGCCACTTATACCCAGGAGACCCAAATGTATGAATGAAAAGACTATGTATTCAAGAGGTGAGTATGTAGTTCAGAGACAATATAATTCCTTATTTGGATTCTTTCCACCCATCATTCTGACTGAGCGGGCAGAAGGGAAGACTGGCCAAGAACTCGGTGGGGAAGAGCCTTCAAAACTCTGTTCTATAAAATGAAAACACAGGCCCATGGTTTCCCCCTGCACTGCCCGAGCTCTGGTCCTGTGAGCTGGTCATCACTGCTAGGAGAAAGGACTAACTCAGCTGGTTTCTGAGTCTTCAGAGCTGCCTTTCTTTCAGGGTTGGACAATTTTACAAAGTTAAAGCTGTCCTCTGATAAGCTAGAGAGCCATGTGCCTTTCTGTGTTGCATCTTTAATGATGGGAAAATAAAGAAAACAGCTAATCTACTTTTACATTTCAGAACACAGATGGGGTGAACTTCTATAACATCTTAACTAAAAGCAGTCCCATGTCTGTAATGGAGTCAAGCCTAGAATTCACACAGACCCACCTAGGTGAGTGGACCTTGAAGTTATCGCCTCTTGCCTTAGCCTCGGTGCAAGAAAAAAAACCATTTTGGGGGACCAGCAGATGGCATAATGGTTATGTCACTGGACTCCCATGTAGTCTCTTGCGGTTCAAGTCCCAGACCTGGAGGCTTAAACCACCCGCCGGGCACATGCATGTGTGTGTCCAAGATCTCGAGAGGAGAATGGAGAAGGGATTGTAGCATGACCATCTCTCTTGGGGGGTGATTTCTTGCTTTCTGTCTCTCTGTCTCTCCAGCAAGCACATGTAACCTATTGCAAAAATCTCTCCGAAAAAAAAATTTCTGGAAACTTTATTAATATAATTCATGTACCATAAAAGTCATTGTTTTAAGTGTTTTCATTCAGCAACTCTTAGCATCTCACAGAGTTGTACAGTCACCACCAAAATCGAGTTTTAGAACATTTCTGTCACCCCCAAAAGAGCCCACACGTCTGTCTGCAGGCAGTTCTCATTCCTACTGCCAGCCCCAGGCAACCACTAGTCTGTTTTCTATTTTGAGATTTGCCTTTTCTGAAAATTTCATAAACATGAAATCATACAATTATTAGTCTTTTACATCTGGCTTTCACTTAGAATTTTTTTTTAATTGCCAGAGGGCACATGTGCTTGCCAGAAAGAGACAGAGAGAAAGGGAGAAAGTACCCCCAAAAATGAGGTATTTCTCCAACCTATTGGGGTTGGGGGCCTGCCTACCCATGCACCCAATGTATTTTTCAAGCCACTAGGGCCAGGATTTAAACCATGGCTGGCCACGTGGGATCCAGCCACCTTAACCACTATGCTGTAGGGTCGGCCCAGCATGATGTTTTTGAAGTTTGGAAATCAACTACTATACAATGAAATTAAGTTATAATGTCATTTCTTAGAGGCTAAATGTCTTTCAGCTGACTCAGCTTTACTTCAGATGCAAAATACTTGGTATCTTCTCTCTGTAAGAAGCATACAAAGGCTGCAGGATACCCTTAGATTCAACTTCTCAAATGATTTTCTTTGGCCTTTTGGGGTAATCATACTGGCCCTAAAGTATGTAGAACATGCAGAAGACAGTACTGATAAAAAGCCTCTCCACTTTCAACATGTTTCTGACTTTCTTCTACCACTGGGGTCGAACCGGGGTGACATGTTTCCTTTTCCAGCTGAAACCCTCTCTTTTAAAACAGCAGCTGGGAAAAGATGTCCCCTTCGTCTTACTTCCAGTCCGTTGGTCACTATGAATCGGTTTGATTTTAGCTCGTCTTTGTCGGCGCCATGTGAGACACCTACAAGGAAACACCTTAAGCGAGCTCATGAATGGTCCCATCAGAAAGAAGCTCAAGATTATTCCCGAGGACTGCACCTGGGGAGGTACTGTGTGACTGAATTGGGTGCTGTTTGTAGAGTCGGGGAGAAGGAGAGCAAATCAGAGGCCTTAATCGGTAGGATAGGTTTTGTGGGTAGGGATGTTATGGTGCAGGTAAGACGGTATTACCATCCACATTTTACCCATGAGCAAACAATCCAAGGCAGTGAATGACATGCCAAAAATGGTTCAGAATATGAGACTGACAGGGAGGTGGGTGGCGAGAGACGATTGGTTATGAGTCAGTGATTGTTGAAGCCTGGTATGGGTGCATGGCAATCATTATACTCTTCTCTTTATTTTTGCATCCGTTTAAAACTTTCCATAAGGAATTAAAAGGAGAAGGCCATGCCCACAGCTGTAGGCAAGAGTTCTAGCCAATGGTCCTTTGAAGGAGTCAGATATGCTCATGTGCTGGGAGAAGTTCTGACCAGTTCTCTCTTGCTGGCCTCCCAGGCATCCGGGGGCTGGATGTGGTCTGGCATCTACCATGCTCTGGTCTGTAGGCCATAGTAAGGGAATACTGGAGTCTCTAGAGCCCAGGGCCAGGCAGAAATCACCAGGTTACTACTTAGCTTATAGGGTGTTGCTCAAGCAGGGCTCAGAGGTTTCTTAAGAGAAAACATTCAAAACTGAGAAGGGTTTTATTTCATTTGTGACCAAGATTCCCCCATGGGATCAGGAGGCCCCTTTCTTGGCAGCTACTAAGAGGCTAAGACTTGGGGACATGAGCCCTCTTATCCCAATCTGTCAACAAAGGGCTCATCTCAGACCAGCTATCTTCATTTTCCCTCATCTTTTTTTTTTTTTTAGAGGTTTTTGCTATAGGGCATGTGTGCTTGCCAGACAGACAGAGAGAGACAGAGAGACAGAAAGCAAGAAATCACCCCCCAAGGGGAATGGCCATGCTGCAATCCCTTCTCCTCCATTCTCCTCTCAGGATCTTGGGCACGCACGCACACGCGCCCGGTGTGAGTTTAAGCCACCGGGTCTGAGACGCAAACCGCGGTCGACTACATGGAAGTCCAGCGACATAGCCATTACGCTAACTACTGGTCCCCATTTTCCCTCATCTTGTAGAGATTTTTAGAAATGAAGAAAATAAATTAGAGCAAATGAAAAGATAGAATATGGTGTCAGAAGCCCCCAGAGATGGGCACAACCATAGAGAGCTATCAGGCACCAAGCTGTGAGAAATCATGGGAAACAGGTGTAGGACAAGCTCTGGAAAGAGCACATCTTTCAGCTCACCTCCCTCATAGTGTCTTTATTTTTATTTTTTAAAATTCGTTTCAGGGTACATGTTTTTTCCAGGTGAGGAGAGAGAGAGAAAGTGAGAAAGCACCACCACCACTCCTTCTCCCCCTCCAAGGGAGGAGAGCCACACCACAGTGCCCTCTCCTCCATCCCCCTCTCGGGATTTTGGGTACACATGCACATACGCCCAGCATGTTTTCCAAGCTGCTGGGTCCAGGACTCAAACTACACAGTTGACCCTTTGGTATCCAGCTGCTTTAACTACCACACCACCAGCTGGCTCCGTCATTGTATCTTTATGATGGTATTTTTCTAGTCCCAGCTTCTCTGGTATAGGGACTCTCCCTGCCCAGTCTACTTGAATGGGCAAGGTTATTTTATTTCTTCAGATTAAAACAAAAAAATTATGATAGAGCGTATGCACACATAAGAGTGAGCAAGAAAGAGAGCAGATCTCTCCACAGGATCTGGTCACAGCGTGATCCCCTTCCAGTCTTCAACCAATCCGATCTTGGCCACTCGTGTGTGTGCCCAGTGAGTTTCCAGCCAGCTGGGGATTTGCCATGTGGGATCCAGCTTCCCCTGAGCATCTCATTACCACTGTGCATATAACTAGCCTGTTCATTTAATTTCTTTTTTAAGTTTATTTCTGTGCCCCATGAGAGAGAGAGAGAGAGAGAAAGGGAGCACTCTGGACAGAGTCTTGATGCTGCATTCCATCCCCAGCTTCAGCCAGCCCCAGATCATGGACAAGCACATGTCCAGTGTTCTCAGGGAGGTCTCTGGATGTGAGTCCAGAACCTTCCCATGTGGGTCAGCCTGGCAGAGAATTGCATTTTATTGCTTCACCACCATTCAGTCCCCGCATTATTGCTGATGGAGACTCTTTTTAGCTCCAGGTCTGTCGGTGTACAATCAAGAAAGGACAGACTGACCTTGGCCAATATCTCCAGGGTCTTGAATTCCATTTTGTAGTGATGCACACAAATCCTTGTAGTCAGCCAGGCCTGAGTTCAAATCTCTGCTTACCACTAACTTGCAATTTCATCTGGGCATGTTTCTTAACTTCCTCTTATTTCCCTTTAACTGTTCCACACGTTAAGACCCTTATCTCCCAGAATGGTGATGAAGAAGAAATGGGATGCTACTCATAAAATGCTTACTTAGCGCAGCGACTGGCAGATAAGTGATAGCTGCGGCTGTTATGATGATAATGATGGCGATGGTCGGGAGTCCAACAGAAATGCTGTGCAGTCGGCTCTTCTCTTGCCTGGAGCTTATGGCTTTGGCTTTGGCTTTCCTGTGGACCAACTATGAATTGACTTAGATCTATTGATTTATTATAAGTTAACTCTACTTGTACAGAACATGAAACTTGGCCTTGGTGTTATTCAGCACAAGAGGAAAACTAATGTTGGGTCAAAGCACAACTTATCTCTCAAGCAGGCTAGCCTGAAAAGTATTTTCTGGCCCTGGGAACCAGCAGTTAGCATAATGGCTATGTCGCTGGACTCCCACATAGTCGACCATGGTTTGCCTCCCGGACCCGGTGGCTTAAAACTCACTCCGGGCGCGTGTGCGTGTGTGCCCAAGATCCCGAGAGGAGAATGGAGAAGGGATTGCAGCGTGACCATCCCCCCTGGGGGGTAATTTCTTGCTTTCTGTCTCTATGTCTCTCTCTGTCTGTCTGGCGAGCGCATGCGCCCTATAGCGAAAAACTCTCCAAAAAAAAAAATGATAAAAAGTATTTTCTGGCCCTGTGTCTCTCCGTTTCTTCAGACAGCCTCCTCTAGGTTTAATTCTTCATGTAAAATGGCATCTGCTGTCATCACTGGCTCCCAAGTGAATGGGCCACGTGTGTGTCTATGCTTCCCATCACCCAGCCAGCTCAGGACATGAATTTTTAAGGGCCAGTTGGTCCCTGTCTGTACAGTATCTGTGCAGTACGTCTGTTAGGTGCTATATGGTGGTTACGTTTAGGTATGGAGCCCAGGATGCTCTGGGCTGGAAGGGACTCTCATTCTGGCAGATTCCAAGCTGCTCCTTCTTTCTCCTTCCCCATGTGCAGGCCAGGCTGCCAACGTCTTCTTCAACATGGAAGAGGATTTCATGAAGCCGGTCATCTCCATCGTAGATGAGCTGCTGAAAACTGGGATCAACGTGACCGTGTATAATGGACAGCTCGACCTCATCGTGGACACCATGGGTAAAAACTGACTCCGAGGGACACGGCGAGGTAGTTTCATGGGTGGAGCTGGAAGGGAATTGGCCTCTGACTTGTCAACCTTGGGGTTGTTGACACTGAGCTGCTGGGAGAAAGGCCATCTTGTGTTAATCCCATCCAATCCTGACCTTGACTCTTCAAAGAGGAGGAAGCTACATGTGGCCCTTCTAGGTTTTAAGACCCTTAGATATGATTAAAGAAAAGTATGACACCTGATCCCCCAAAAAATTATAAAAGAAAGACATTTTCCTGATTGATGAGCAATGCACTATTTAATTGAGAGAAAACCTCATTTTGTGTGATGTCTTAGTAGATTCTAAGTACTGCCAAGTGAGTTCAAACAGCCTCCACAGCTCTAACCCAAGGACCAGGAATAAATGGTCTTTATGGAATCCTAAGTACTTCTTGTTGCCTGCTACCTATAAGCTCACTTCTTATTTCAAGAGGGCCTGGTAGAGGTTCAGAGACGGGTCCTCAGAACCAGCAGGCAGATCGAGGCATGCAGCCTGGTGGGTGTGATGCGGCACTTGCAGTCAGCAGGACTGAATATTTTGGGACACTGATGACAATTCAAAAAGATTCTACCATTGTCCCATGAACTGGCCAGGTGATCGCATTACTGTTTCCTCATTACTGAGAGTTCCCAGTCCTTCTGACTGCTCTGTCACTCTCCAGAGGCCCCCAGGTTCCTTTCTAAAGAGCAGTGGGAGAGTCAAAGGCAAAAAAAGGTCACTGTTTGGTCTCTTGCCTACAGTGAGAGGCCTCCCCACTCAAACCCCCAGAGCCTACTAGAAATGCAGATGCTCCAGCCCCACCCAGACCTACTGAATCAGAATTTGCATTTTAATGAGAATTCGGGTGAGTTTTGTGCATAGTATAGTTTGGAAAGCCCCAGGTTATAGGACCTGGGTGTTTTTCTTACTCTACCCAGCTGTTAATGCTAGGCCCTTTTCTCTGTCCTCTCCAGGTCAGGAGGCCTGGATTCGGAAACTGAAGTGGTCAGAGCTGCCTAAATTCAATCAGCTGAAGTGGAAGGCTTTGTACACCAACCCTGAATCTTCTGAAACATCTGCTTTTGTCAAGTCCTACAAGAACCTGGCTTTCTACTGGATCCTGAAAGCTGGCCACATGGTGAGAGAGAGGGAAGAAGGTTGTGGAGTTGGGGGCAGGCTTTTGTCCCAGACCTAAAATTATTTAGAGAGGGAAGCCAGAGGCAGTTTGCTGTGTGCATCCACTTCCAGGATTGCTCTTAGGAGAAGTATTTTGTGCTTAGGGGTGTTTCAGGTTCTCTAATGAAATTCCACTATTTGGGGACCAGCACTTGGCATAATGGCTATGTTGCTGGACTCCCACGTAGTTGACCGCAGTTCGAGTCCCAGACCTGGTGGCTTAAACTCACGCCAGGCACATGTGTGTGCATGCCCAAGATCCTGAGAGAACAGAGGAGAAGGGCAGCATGACCATCCCCCGTGGGGGATGATTTCTCGCTTTCTGTCTCTGTCTCTCTCTGCCTTTCTGGTGAACGCACATGCCCTATAGCAAAAAATTTCTCCAAAAAAAAAAAAAAAAGAAAGAAAGAAAGAAATTCCATTATTTGCACTTTATTCTTCCAGCCTGGAAACTCCTAATTTAGTGTACGTCCTCCTGGGCCAGCTGCAGTAGTGTATGCTGGACATGGCTGTTTGGCAGGCTGAAGCCACATGGAAGGCCCAGGTTCTATCTCTGACTCTAAAATAAAAGCCAGTAGGTCAGCCAGGTGGTGTGACGATTAAGGTGACTGGGTCCCATGTTGCAGACTGTGCAGGTTGAGTCCCAGACCTGGAGGCTTGAAAAACATGCTAGACTGTGTGTGGGTGTGCCCAAAATTTTTTTTTTTTTTGGAGAGATTTTCGCTATAGGGTGTGTACGCTCGCCAGACAGACAGAGACATAGAGACAGAAAGCGAGAAATCACCCCCCAGGGGGGATGGTCACACCGCAATCCCTTCTCCTCCATTCTCCTCTCGGGATCTTG